GTGTGTGTGTGGGTGGTGAGAGGATTTACCAGAAACAGATTGGGGAGCAGGACAGGCAGATCTACTGAAATACACTGCTGAGGGTTTTGGCAGGCAAGAAAGGAGAGTCTGCTGCACCAGGTGGGTCAGCTTTCTGACTGCAGATCAGACTCATAAGGCAATGGCTGGCTGACTAGATAGCGCTGAGCCTAACCCCTGCACTATCAAGAAGTCCCTTAATGTTATTCTTTAGCCTTATTCTTTGGAGGTTGGAGGGTTGTAGAGCAAAGGGACTAACGTGTGGAGATTGGAATAAATAACTTGAAATATGCATATATTTTTCAGTGCCCATATGTGGCCCTCTCTTTTTCTCTGAATAATTATTTAACATTCTGGACTGGTAAGTTGTTTTCTAAAAGTAGCATTGTGACACTGTCACTTGTTTTTTCTTTGCATGTTGTGTCCATATACAGAAAATACAAGATTGAAAAATGCGTTTTCCTCTATAGATAGAGATTTTTTTCTGTAATTCTCAATGGCCTTCAAGTCTTATATTTTTTCAGCTCTTTCCCCTTGTTCTTGACCTTGGTGAATTTGTATTGCTGGTAGTATAAATAGTTTCTCACATGGTGTGTGGTTAAGCAGTCTCTAAGCTGAATATATGCTGCTATTAGAAAGTATTTAAGATGTTTTCATATTTTTAAAATAATAGACCATATAAATTCACTGCATCTTGTTGCTTTTAAGGTAAAAAGATAATTAAGAGTGTGTTACAAGCTAGAGGAAAATAGCCTTGCTTTTTCTAAGGTTAAAATAATTTGTTCATTTGTCATAAGGAATACTCAACATATATGTATAATAATAAAGGGATGACAGGTATGTTGGAATTCTGGAATAAACAGTTATATATTTTCAAACTAATCTATAAAGCCCCAATAGTAAAGTATTGTAATTTTGTTACTTGAGATCTGTTTGGACCTTTAAGTTTATGCTGTAATAAAAGCCAATTATTTTATGTGTGTTGATTGATAATTAGTTAAACATTAAAAACGGGAATTTAGCATAGATATATTCTCTGATCTGCACAGTCCTTTTAAATTTCTACTGGCTACATGTGATTGTTCAGCACCTGAAATGTAGCTGGTTCTAATTAAGACGTGTTATGAGTGTAAACTAAATTTTGAAGAGAATGCAGGAAATACTACATGAATAATTTTTTATACTGAGTAAATTAAGATTTATACATAATAGATACTGTTTTTAAGTACTGGGTTAGATAACTAATAAAATGAATTTCATCTGCTTTTTAACTTTTTGATGTGTCTACTAGATAACTTTTAAAGAATAAATATGGCTTGCATGATATTTTTAGTGAATAGCATTTGCCTGGGCAGTATGTGATAAGGGCCTCAACAGGGTCTGTTGGGACAATGAAAATATTTAAGGAGAGAAATTTCAGAGATTTCAAATGCTATGACTTACAGCATTTGATTGTGGATTACTCTGTAATAGTGTTATTGTAGGGGATGTCCAAAATCACATGATATATTTTATTTGGATAAGTGAATGGTATTAACTAAGAAAGGGAACATGAAAGGATGAATGGATACAGATAATAGCTACTGCTTATTTCACTGTACATATATATTCAGTAAACATTTAGGATTAAACATTATAAGTTGATAATATCTAATGTTATTCTCCCCTGTTCCTCTCTTTCTACTTTTTTCCAGGATGTGAATTCAGAAGATCAAAAAGCATCCAGTGAATACATTAACTGCAGTGAGGGAGAAGATTTTGCAAACATGAAAAAGAAGATCAAAACAGATATCCATTACAAAAATAGCCCTCCTAAATTCACAATCCCAATTTCTGGAAAAACTATAGAATCTCCTCATAATGAAAATATCTATAACTCAAACTCCTTTAAAGATGAGAAAATCATAGAGACTGAGAGTGAGCCAGAAGAAGGTGAAATTACAGATTCCCAGACTGAAGACAGTTATGATGAAGATATTACCAGTGAAGACAATGTAACTGCAGAAGAAACTGAGGAAGAAGGTGAGTAAATAATGCACATTTAATTTTATGTAAATAATATAGTCTGGTCATTTTAGAAGAGCAATAAAGTTAAAAATGTTAGTCATTCAGTATATTGCCAAAATGCAAGCTGATTTTTAAAAAAACTGTTTTAATGAAATATTATAAGTGAATGTGAACATTGAGCCATTTATTTCTTTTACAGATGAAGAAAAAATTTGGCCCCCATGTATTAGAGTAATTGTTATTAGATCACCAGTGTTGCAGACAGGATCACTTTTTATCATTACCGCTGTAAACCCTGCTACCATTGGAAGGTAAAAAATGATTGCTTTATGATTTATCACTCATGATTTTTAATTCCAATGATTTGTACATTTCTTGATTTATTGTAAAATATGCAAGGTACTTTTTGAAAAGGGTATCCATGTCCCTCTCTCCCCGACTGCAGATACATATTGATACTTACCTTTTGTCCTTTGTTTTGGAAGTTAATTAAGGAAGTCAAAGTCCCAAAAAGAATTCAGAGTCCCAAAAAGGAATTGCATATGTGCAGAGACGAAAGAGGTTTTGTCATTTTCTTACCCTTTATCCTGCCCTTTTTAGGACTGTTTACTAAACTAAACCCAGTGTTATCTTTTTTTTTTTTGCTTTTCATTTATTCCTTTGTAGCTTATAATCAGCTTGGGAGAGAAATAGGGTTTAATCATGAATAGGATAATTTCTTTTCAATAGTAAAGGTAATCTGCCCTTAAATCAGAGTCTATAGAATATCTTAATTTTAAATTCTTTAAGAATACTGTTCTTCTTTTACATATACATCAATAGATGTGAATAATGATTGAAGTTAGTACAAAAGTGACCAGGGTATAAAAGTAATTTTGAGACCTCCTTTCACTCAGAAAATTTAGAGTAGGATTACAGAACGTAGACTTGTTATGGTAGAGAGCCCTTTATTTTAACATAATCTTAAAAGTTTCTTTCCATATAATGTAAGTAACTCATTTATATGTATTTCACAAGTTTTTAAAAGACATTTTACTTAATTCTACAGAGAAAAAGATATGGAGCATACTCTCCGAATCCCTGAAGTTGGTGTCAGCAAGGTAATAAGCTTTTTGATTTTTCAGACTTAGCCTTCTTGATAGAATTTTATAGATCATCATTATGGTAGAAAGTCTGCTTTTTTCCAGCTTAATAGAAATGTTGATAGTAAGTATATTGATAGTAATGACAGTGCCATATACAAATACGGATTTTATTCCAGTGCTTGTGGATAAAAATTCTTTTAACAGTTTGCATAAACTGTTTATTTTTAGTGGTATAGAGTAGGAATAGAAAGATATAGATTGATTTTTTTTTAAAGATTTATTTATTTATGCATACAAGAATTGGGGTGCAGGCCAGAGGTGCCAGGGCAGGGGGTGAGAGACTCACCAGAGTGGGGAGCAGAACAGAGATCTGCTGTGCTTTGTGGGTGAGCTCCCTGACCAGGGTCCAAATTGTGTTACAGTGACTGCAGAGAGCTTCATAGTGCTGCAGCTTAACCCTTTGTACTACCAGGGAGGCCTAGATTAATTTTGGTATTAAAGTAACGTCTATTTAATAGAGTGAAATAAATACATTAGATATTGTAACAGTTCAAAAATGAATCAGATCTGAGTTCAGGCCACTATAATAGATGAGTAGTTAACTTTGAGCCCAAGTATTTTACAAACCTAGAGCAATCTATTTTTTGCTACCCAAGGGTCTCCTTTGCAGCTTTCCTCATTGAATATCTTTTTCAGGAAAAAGAACAGTTGGTTTTTTAAAACAAACAATATGATCAAAGTTGCAGCTTAAGTTTTAGCAAAACCATAAAGTTTAGCTATTGAAACTATATATATATTTTAAAATTTTATTTACCATATTTTCTGTGCTCCCTCCACCATTGTTGTTACCTTTTTTTTTCAACTTTCATCATCCCCATTTTGTTTCTATGAATGAATTTAAAGTAAATATATGCTATATATTTTATGTAATTTTTGTCTTTTTAGAATGAAACATTTCCTATTAGTTTTACTTTATACTCATTCAAAGTAGAGGAAATCCTAATTTTAACTCTGACCAAAATTATCTTGCTTTTTTCTTGCCCATGACCTTTTGATTCTCCTGCTTGCAAAGAAGACTCAGTCTGTAACTTAATGAATAAAGAAGACCCTTTCTTATAGTCTAAAATTTAGGCAGTTCTCTGGTACCATTTCTTTGAAACTAATGTATTCATTGGTGAAGTAGATATTGCACTAGCTATATGAAATCAGTTTGTTTTATGTCACATATATCCAAGTGGAAGAAAAAAAAAAATCCCACATTATGTAATATTAGGGGAAAAAAAAACCACAGTCACTGAATGAATATAAAACCTTCTAAGGTCAAAAAAATGGAAAAAAAAACTAGGACAAGAAAATTTGGAATACTGTTAAGTTTGAAATCCTTTATCTCTTAAGAAACAAAATTAAAAGGCAGACTTAGGACAGTTATAGTCAATTATGACAAAATGTATGTCTCTTAAATTTTAAAAGCTCATGAAGATTCATTTCAAATCCTACTGTGATGCCAATATGTAAGTGAGTAAAGGATATAAATAAGCAGTTTATAATAATGGAAATGTCACAGTTAATAATGTGAAATTCAGTTTTCCCAGTAATTTAGGAAATCCAAATGAATCCAAAGTGTTAGTTTTCATTAATCATATTTATTAAATATCACTTCATTAAAGATTCAGGCAATATCAAATGTTATTTAAGATCCATAGAAAAACAAGAATTCTTTTTTTTTTTAAGATTTATTTATGCATACAGAACTGGGGTACAGGCTGGAGGTGCGGGGGCAATGAGACCTACACCAGAGACAAGAGTGGAGAGCAGAACAGGCAGATTGACGAAGGGGAAGCAGCAGGCAGGTCAGAAGAGGTCTGGTGTGCTATGTGGGTCACCTCTGGGGTGGGGATTGAACTCACACTGAAGAGGCTGTGGCCAACTTGGAATGCTTTGTCCTAACCTGTTGTGCCACCAGGGAGGGCTGAAAAATGAGAATTCTTAATGACATTTGTGGAATATAAATTAGTACAGCCACTTAGAAAGATGTTATGATGTTGTCTGTAAAGTATATCATTGCAAATACTGTGGCTTAGCAGTTTTATCCTAAGTATGTACCTTAAAGAAACACCTGCATTATTTTCAAGAAAGTTGCATATACAAGAGCCTCTACAACA